AGAGTCATTGGTCTAAAATCTTAAAAGAAAGTGAACAAGCCTGTATGCAAGGTGCTGTAGCTTAGCTGGTCAAAGCGTCTGTCTAGTAAACAGGAGATCCTGGGTTCAAATCCCAGCAGTGCCTAAGTCCTTCATATGACTTCTTGTTCTTCACACAGTTAACTCTTGTGCTTTAGCTATAGAACAGTCTGTTGCTCTCCAAACAATTATTTGTGTCTCTTAACTTCAAGGATACTTTCTTTTAAGTTTTGTTTATTAAAAAGATTACAAAATAATGGTGGCACGACGGTGTGGTGGTCAGAAGTGCCGCCTCACAGCAACAGGGTTCCCAGTCAGAGTCCCCAACAACTTTCCTAACAGCTGAGTGTTTCCCACAGGTAACAGAAAGTCATACCAATTGGTTCATGACTGGATTTGCACCTGGTCAATGTTATGTCTCATTTATCCAGCTGTCAGTGAAGTACACCTACACTGCTGGCCTGAAACACACATGCAGAGAGACTGGCCATGACAAGGACATTCTGCACAGAGAAAACAATGAAATCAGAGAGAGGATGTTAGTAATTGGTGAAATAATCACATTTTACTCTGACACACTCATTAGGAGGTTTTTAGTTCTATCCAACGTAGCCTACATCCCCACAGGATTGATAATGTCAGCAGGCCTGGGTAGCTCAGATGGTAGAGCATCAGACTTTTAATCTGAGGGTCCAGGGTTCAAGTCCCTGTTCAGGCTTTGGTCCAGTCCTTTGCAGTCCTGATAAATCTCACAGAGAATTTCCCATGCAATTTCAGTTATGTTGTGTCTGGAATTAAGACGCTGCTAAAGGCAGTGCTGGTATACATTTAAGGGGAACTCATTCCAATACTTTGACATACAGGGGTTGGACAATGAAACTGAAATGCCTCTCATATTAGTATTTTTGTATCCTGGAGGAGGTGCCGTGTATCAGGATGACAATGCACCAATACACACAGCAAGACTGGTGAAAGATTGGTTTGATGAACATGAAAGTGAAGTTGAACATCTCCCATGGCCTGCACAGTCACCAGATCTCAATATTATTGAGCCATTTTGGGGTGTTTTGGAGGAGCGAGTCAGGAAACATTTTCCTCCACCAGCATCACGTCGTGACCTGGCCTCTAACCTGCAAGAAGAATGGCTTAAAATCCTTCTGACCACTGTGCAGGACTTGTATATGTCATTCCCAAGACGAATTAATGCTGTATTGGCCGCAAAAGGAGGCCCTACACCATACTAATGAAGTATTGTGGTCCAAAACCAGGTGTTTCAGTTTCATTGTCCAATCCCTGTAGATCTACTATGGACGGAGAAACTTTATTTGCCGATAGTGAAACAGGCCAGTTAGCTCAGCTGGTCAGAGCGTGGTGCTAATAACGCCAAGGTCATGGGTTCAAGCCCCATACTGGCTATATAGTTATGATTGTGTAGAACTTGTATGAAAAAGGCTTTGAAACATGTGGAGCCCTGAATATCTTCAGTCATTCATAAAGTATTTGTTTATTCTCACGTGTGTCCTGGACCATGACACAGATGCCTTATTAAACTTAGTGTGAAGTGTCTTCTTCACTTCAAGTAAAAGTCAGACTTTGTGACAACTCACTGAGGTGAAAATGTCTCCTGTGGCCAGAAGCTTTGATATAAACTTCCTCCTCAGTTGGACATGTTTTACCTTAAAA